ATTCCCACGGGAACGGGAGTTAGCGGGAAAAAAACATTTGTATGAAAAATCTAAACCGCTTAAGTTAGATGCTTGAAATTTGGCATGCAGGTACCTTAGTAAACTGAAAGCTTATTTACAACAGGATATTGCAAAATTCCCACGGGAACGGGAGTTATCGGGAAAAAACATTTGTATGAAAAAATCTAAACCGCGTAAGATAGATGAAGGGGGTAAAACAGGATCCACGCGTACGAATCGCAGGCGGCCGCTAGTTTTTCCTAAAGTAGTCATGCCCTTATCCACCCTATGGCGCCGGCTTATCGTTGAATTTTGGGACACGATGCATTCTTATTTGATTCTCATTTTCAAACGAACCGATGATCTGATGAGTTTTAAGGCAGTAATGATGTCATTATTTGCACAAGATGAAGAGCGTTGATGCGTGGCATACTTATTATTTTACAGAAGTGAATGTTTTCCCACAGTGCATAACTACATGTTGTTTTTTACGATTACATTCGCGTACGTAAATATGGGACATATTTCTTCAAGTCTTTTGGCAGCAATAAAAAATATTGAGTCTGTGAAATATTTGTCGATATCCTACCTATAAAATATGTTGCTTGACTCTAAAATTGTGATACCTGTAATTTAATATTGTTTCCTAATTATGATGAATAAATTCCCCTTCTGAGGCAACGCATTTATTGCTATAAAATATATAAATTATTAGGTTACAGCAAGCAATCCTACTATCATCATAAACGGTAGAGTCCGTGAGGATAAACTACTGAACGGATTTTGTTGAAATCAAAGATTTAGAATAATTACCTACTTGTAACTTTTACGCAAACATATTTCAATATTTATATTGGCAATAGCATTAAAATATTAGTTACTAGCTTTTACCCGCGGCTCTGCCCGCATGAGATATAATATTGATAAGCGAAAGGTTGTGGGATCGTTTCCCAACTTTGAAAATTTGATTCTTTCAAGTTTATTTAAAAATATAATCGTTATAAATTATGGCCTAGTTAAGTAGTCCAATGTCATCATCATCATTTCAGCCACAGGACGTCCACTGCTGAACATAGGCCTCCCCCAATGACTTCCACATCGCACGGTTGGTAGCGGCCTGCATACGCATTCCTGCTACCTTTATCAGGAAGCGTGCCGTCCTCGTTTATGCAGCGTGGGACGTTCACCCACAAGGTGGACCGACGACCTGATAAAGGTAGTAGGAAGTCCAATGTATGTATAAACAAATTTAAAGTTTCATCAAAATCGTTTCAGTCTAGTTTTTGTGTGAAAGAATAAAAAGCTTAATAGTAAAAAAATAGTAGTTGGCTAAAAAATTTCAATAATGATGTATTAAAATGCTAATCATCATGAAACAAACAAAATGAAAAACGAAATCGGGTGTGGTTTCTAGATAGATATTCAAGAATTGTGATGAAAGCAGTATTTTTCTCTTTCTTGCTACTTATTTTAATGCTCTAATTTGGTAGCAAGCAGTAACACTGAAATTGAATGTCACATTTGCTACGAGCAGCTTTAGTTTGAAGCTAGTGTTCCCGAAGGAATGAAACCCATCGTTTTAATAGTCCTCACTAGTTGGCGCCACTGCCCAAGTAACACGCAATCTGTATATTCACTGAAGTTAAGATTGATTTACGTTTTAAAGTCAGACTATCACTTTAAATCAGTTTTGACATAGTTTAAATGCTTTTGAGTAGAATGCGGTAAAATTTACAATGCATGAAGCTATTATATGGTCTAAAAAAATTAAGTTAATTGGCTTATAATCATACTAAAACATTAATTACTTTTAATATACAGCACCTTTAACAGCATTTACACTAACACAAAGGTTAAAACCGTATATTAGTAAATAAGAAAAACTAATGCATTAAATAAACGTTGTCGAAATATTCTATAGTGCATTCAGATATATTAACACATTTTACAGATTGAACGCATTTTTATGATCTTTTCTTATGCTTATTTACTGCTCAGCATTAGCCAAACATTTACTAAAGTTTTAGCTCTGTTATCTTCTTATTTTATTGTTACTTTAAAGCTTTTAGCACTATTTAGATAAATTAAAAAAATATTTTATTACTTTAGGTCATAATTTGGCCATAAAACCACGAGCCGTATGATTATATTCATTTGTGCGTTAGTAGGTCCTGTATATTCATTAGAAAATTTATGTCGAACGTGTCACGTTATTGACATGAATAAACAGTGGAAAAAGACTTAAGGCCGGGTTGCACCAACTTACTTTAACAAACGTCAAAAATCTGTCAAACCCCATACAAAAAACATCGGTTATCGTCATAGTTACGGTCAAAGTTAGGTGGTGCAACTCAGCCTAAGAGAACAGGTGGAGTAAAGAGAAAGATAAAGACGGAATATTCAAACTTTATATTTGGTTTAAGAAATGCAAAACGTGTTCCAAAAAATGATACACCTCATACACAAAATACAGTACAATCGGTTGTTGTGTGAGTCAAGAAGTTCCGTAGAACATTCCTTCATCCCTTTCGGTCGTTTGCACTATTTTAAAAGGCATCTGAAAAAAAAATATTTTAAATAAAGACATTAAAACATCTCCTCACAACACCATTGCACTGCAATACTCTAAACGAAAAATAATCAAATCGGACAATAAAATGCGATAAGTTTTTTCGAATAGGTACTTTCAAACAAACAAAATAAAACGTTCAGCCTTAGAATAAAACGTAACTTTGGCATTGTAATTCTGAAAGCTGTTTCAAAGCTGTACTAATATCTAATAAAATGCTTTTTACATTAGAATATGCTGCCTAACAACTTTACTAATGTCTGTCTTCAATAACATTATAAGCGCTGGTTAGCAGCACTAATAATATTTAATAATGCTCAAAGCCGTATTATTTGGGGCCCAAATTGCGCTTACAAGACACTTATAGACTTTTATACGGCTGATATAGTGCTACATATGCTGCTCATATACTGCTCTGCACGTAGGTTCATGCTGTTGTACGCTTCTTATAATTGTGTTTTGTGTTACTTGGGTGTAGAGTAGTGTAGAGTAAGGTCCTGTCACTTTCTAGTGGCGAAGACTGTAACACCAACTGGTGAGCACTAAAGCTGTTAGAGGATTATCGTATTTGCACTCAGGATGGCGCTTGCGCTACTGTTGAGTAAAGGTCCTGGTTTCGCCAGTAGTGTGAAAACGATAGCTCTCATTGGTAGAGCACAATTACTAAGTATAAAAAATATTGGGATCTGCAAATTATGATTCTCGAAAAGTTTTTGTGACACAATCAATATAGAATCAGTAAGAACACTAGCACAGAAAGAATAATAATGAGTACTACACTAGAGCAACTAGAGAGTGCAGTTTTTATTTACAAGAATATGGTAAAATTTCGTACAGTTGAAAGAGACAAGGACGCCCGTGTCCAGCAGTGGACTATTGGACGAGTTAGCTGATGAAAAAGATGATAATAATTCAGTGAACTTACACTTGCTCTGTACAAGTGTCCTGAACAGGGCCTGCATAGGTTATAATAAGAATTTGAATTTGAATCCAGCGACTAGTACCGAAACCTCGTAAATAAATAATAAACGGATACTTAACACTTCCTATCAACTGGTAGTGTATTTTTTTCATCGAGTAGTAGCAACACTAGAAGCTAAGTGCAAATGATTGTTTTTTTTTTTCAAATTGTGCCACAATGCATGTGTTTGTTTGTTTGTCGCTTGTAAGAACGATTTACTCGCCTCCCATTTGTTGTAAAACACGCAGTAATAGTTCTCTTAATAGTATCGTATCGTACCCATACTTAAATCAATCATAAAATAAAAGTAACGACAATGCTATTGCATTACTCTATAAAGCTCTACCTTCTCATTATTAATTCCGTTTTCCCAACGTAGGTACTTAATATCAGCGTACAAAAAACCTTAATATGTTTATCTAACTAGATTAAGGCTCTATTTGCCATTCCAGGCTGACCTATTTACTGCAATTCATTTATTTAGATTCGGATCTTGACAATACCAAGTTGCAGAAAATAGATTGGAAAATAGTTGAATAGAAGAGTAGAAGTAAGTACTGTCGATATTTCTTTAATTTTAGTTCAGAAGAAGGAACCCTAATGATTAATTCAATGTCCAGTTAGAGGAGATACAGGGGTTAGCGCAATTTAGAAAATTGCTGTAGTATGCGGACCGGCAGGACGCCTGCAGTTCCTGGTCGCCTCGAAGTGTCAGCAGACGGCGACCCATCCTCGCACATGCATCTTAATATACCTGATCCATCGGCCTTATACTGATACAATGGTAAGTTTCCCGAGACCGAATTTAAAATGTAACTTCAAAGTTTGAAAATTTATTTCAGTTTATCTATCTGCGCGTAAATGTGTTGTATAATAATCTTCTTTAATTTAAACACAGAGCTTGAAAATTAAACATACAATGGTCGAGAGGTAAAAAGTGCTAAAATATGTTGATTTTAGCACACTACATTTGAAACCCAATAGTGTTACAATTTCTACGCACACCTTCAACGATAAATTCGTAACTATCAAAGAATTCAAATCCAAAAATCCACTAATCATAATGTAATGATATTGGGATTGACAGTAAAAGGTTATCTAGCCGCTTTATTAAGTACTCCGCAATTAGTCAGTAGTAAATTATGTCCCATCAAAATTACTGACACAACGTTAAAATTCAGTAAGGATTATCCTAAACCCTAAATGAAATAACCTAATAGCGTACTTACGTTTTAGTGTTTAGCATACCTGTAAAAATGATAAATATTACAAATACGGACGAGGCAAATTAAAAGACAATAAAAACCATTATCACGTAGTGTGCTGACAATTTCGCGATGAGATTAATTTGCAAGATAATAATTCGCATGGCAAACGTTAACAATTATGTTTTGAAAAATACTTATAAGGTTACAACGCGCGCGCAGCCAAGATATTTTAGGAACCATAAACGTAAGCTTTAAATAATAAAACAATGGTTACCTGAACATACATAGCGTCATGGATCATCGTATAAAGTTTTCCTGACAATACTTATCAAATTACGAGATCAATTGATACATTAACACAGATATCACAGTTTGATTAAACTGCAGGTATTCTTCAAAAATGTACCGGTAATTTGGTTTCACTATCATACCCTAATAACACTCTGTGTCCTCTCACTGTAGTTTGTATCGAAACTTGTCTTCTGTAGTATAAAAACTCGAAATGCGCGTGGACACCGGTGGCTGCGCCCGCGATTTACCCCACCTGCGCCAGCCCCACCAAGTGTGAGTGTCGCCGCTCTACGCACTGCAAGGAAACAATTTCCACCTTTCTAACATTGCCGGATAAAACGGGTTAGTAGGGATGAACCAAGGGGCTCTATTATGCAACTCTTGGACTTGCAAACTGAGCAGGTATATAAGCTTGTGGAGCGTTCGGAAACAGTAGAAAGTAACCCAGTCTCAACAGACCAACTGTATCACAGAATCAGTCCAGCAATTGTCATCATGTACGCGAAACTCGCTGTAAGTTAACATGGATTCACCATAAATCGGGAAAAGTGAAGGATACCGTGAAGTTTTCAGTGAATTCAAGTGATAAAACTTAAACTCGAACTACCCACCTGATCCTGATAAATTCAGTGTTAGAAATTAATTCAGTGCGATTTTTAAATCTTGTTGATTTTGAAAATTTAAAAGTAATAATCTAGATTAATTCCAAACTTCAGGCTCCGTCAGGCAACTTCAGGCATGGAATTTAGTGAAAACATCTAGTTTTTAAGAAGTACTTCACAAAATTATTTACCTGCTTGCATCCTAGCTTGTAGGACTTCAAGTATATCCCCGTGTTATGTAGGAAAGTGCCTAAAACAGATGTGTCAAATTGTAATATTTTTTCAGCTCGTCGCTGTCTTGGTAGCCGTGGTCGTAGCTTCACCCACCCCCGGTGGAGGCGGACACCAGTAAGTTACCTTAAATTATGATAAATCATATCTTTTAATTATTAATTTTTATCCATAAACCAAGAAAATATTACCAAAATTAGAGTCCGCAAAGTTTTCTCTACAAACAGTTTAACTATCTTTTCACACAATATTTTGAATTAAACAAGCAAATTTTGTTTATATAAAATCTTTTTATTCATACACATAGATTATTTACTCATCAACCGACAACATCGAAAGAATGTACCGAATAACAAAAGAACTAGTTCATCTGATGCAATGTGCAATCCAATCAGCGATAATGACATAAGAACAAACGTCGCGCTAAGTAGGTCGCAAACAAACAATTTAACCAATAGAATGAACGGCAATGAACTTGTAAACTTTTTTCATAAAAGAGTTGTTATTTTCATTCACTCTTTACAGCCGGTACAGTCTAAAAATAAAGTAAATAAACCATAACGATTGTTAGGTAACATTCAAGGCCGATCGGCAAAAAATGAAGCTAACGATAGTCGCACGAAGTAAGCATCAACGAATAAAATTGCATTCTGCAGAACAGTAAAAATAGTGCAGCATAGTAACGTAATAATTTTGCTTAAAAAAATTGTAAAAACATTCAGGTGCCTTTATAACGAATTTATAGACTATAAGAAACAAAAAAAATATATAATTCTGCCGTATTTTTAACCATATCAAAGTGTCTATTTAAATAATAATCCATCAAAATTAGCTTTCATATTCTTTTTATTATTACGTAGCGTAATGAGACGATTTTAATTAGATACCCATCTGGTAATTTGTTTTAATTTTACAGTTCTGCTTGGTGATCATCACATTATAACATTGCAAAGTACCACAACATTTACGTTTAGGAATGCAGATTTGAATTAGCCAGTTTCACTTTCAATTTATGCATTCTATGGAAGCCTACGAAAGTTTCATTCATGGGTTTAAAAGTTCTCAATGAGCTTTAAGAGAACTTGAAACGCATGCGGCCATTGTTTACTTTTGTACTAAATATAGTAAATCTTTTGATGAATAAATTCCAATGGAAAATATGCATTGAATGAAACTAAATTAAATAAATAAATTGTCATTTTACAATGAGGAATGGAAAGCTCCATTTACTTTTCCGAGGAGGAAACCTCTATTTACTTTTCCGCGTTATAATTATATGTTTCCAAAAATATTATTTTATGTAGAAAATAACACTGCGAAAATTCGAAATAACTTTGCATAACTTATCACCTTCTGCGTTACGAGTACACATGTATAAATTACTGCGCATCCGTTACAGTTTCATGCTCTAGTAATGACAATGAAGAAACTTACAAGTGACGTGATGATTAATCCCGATAACAATATAATATTAATACTAAGTCAGTGAACTGTAAAAAGTTGTTATTGTAGTGAGGCTAGTGATTCTTTATTCAGGACATTATAATAAATTTTTATTGCGACAAAAGACTAGATTCGATAAATATTTTGGCGATTTTATTATTTTTGTACGTGATTAAAACTTAATTAAAAAAAATCATAATGTTCAACATGTAAAGAATATAAAACATGGTTCATTATTATTTATTATCACGAGAGCAAATAAAATAATAAAAATGATATTGTAGACAGTTTTCTAAAATTAAGTTTTTAAAATGAAATGACTTACTTGACTTAAGGTCCTATGTCCCCTAGATGGGGCAGAGGGCGTCCACAACAGTCCTCCATCGCGTTCGGTCTTGAGTTTCGCGCTTGATCTCGCTTCAGGTCTTGCCGATTTTCTTCGCCTCGTCTGCTACAGTACGCCGCCAAGTTTGCTTGGGGCGACCAAGTTTGCGTTTTCCTTGGGGGTTCCAATCCAGAGCCTGCTTAGGGATGTGATCGGGGTCCCTTCGGAGAGTGTGGCCAATCCAGTTCCACTTGCGGCGCTTGATCTGCTGGTCGATCGAAATTTCGTGGCAGCAAATAAAAATGAAATAACGGAATTATAATAATAAAATTAAATTTAACAATTTTACAGCGAATTATATTTCTGAATTTTATAGTATTTTTTATGTACAATTGTGCCACTTTTATATTTGTTGACACTGTCTTGATATTGATACTCTGCTATTTTAAGATCCTGTAATGTTTCGTCATGCACTTTGTAATGATTAAAATACAGGGTAGATTGAATAATATATAATAAATGTGTAGCAATGCAGCTCAAATGTCAATAGCGGAGCGGTGTAGCATGCGCTTGCGCTCCCTTAATCTGATGGCATGTGACGTCACCGGGCCGTAATAGCGCGTCATGTGTCACAACCGGACGATCAAACGAGCCGACTGGTTTATGTGTCGGTCTTGCTGCACTTCTGGTAATAAGTACAGCAAGTAGCATTACTGTGCGACTTTTGCATCATACAAACATTGAATGAATGAATGTTATAGATTCAATTAAAGCAAGCCAGTTTACGTTTGTAATTACGCTACTACTCTCGAGTACTACCTACCTACTGACATAATTAGTGTCGAGAGATTCGAGGAATGTTGACCACGCTAATGACTATCTAATTACACGGTACGTATGAGATCAGGCCTTGTAACGATCAAAAAGAAACAAAAGTGACTGCTTAGTTTAGGCTGGTTACGTAAAAAACATAATTGAACCACTTTCAAATGCACTAAAAATTCAGTTCGAGCCGGGTCGAGATAGTTTTAGACAATTTGTTTTGTAACTGGGATGATCTTGTAATGAGTTGCGAATATTCTCGAACGCCGACACCAGGAAGTTAAAGTGCAGTGGAACAGTTTGATGTAAATGTAGGTATAATTCACGGCCTTTGAAATGCCAAACATGATGCGATAATCTCCTCGCCTTTGTATTTACTTTCAAAGATCATTAAAGCTGATCTCGCTGCAACCAATACAGGAAGACTGCCTACTAGACTTACTAAACAGTCACTTCATCAACAGTATACTCTCATTCCGCTTCACTTTTCAATTAGCCGAGCTTATGTAATGATGATTGATTAAAACAACGAGACAGCATCTAGCAAATCCATTTGAATTCTACTTACTACGAAAATGTATGGACCATTTCTTGTAAAAGATACATCATTCGATTTCAATTCAAGTTCGTGGTAGTTTCGCTACATCCTCGAGCTACGTAAAACAGTAGACTAAAAATATGTAATTTTAACGAATCGAATTTCATAACGAACGTAACATTAGGGCGGAGAAAGTCAATTTGTACGCTGCGCCACGCGCACTCGTTCGCCTCTGACCACGCATTGTCATTGGCTAATCACCGGACGAATTATAATAAAATTGTCAAGGAATTATCTACAGCGCAGCCTTCGCGGTTGGGAACTTACGGTAATTTTAGTTGAAATGGAATTAACGTGATCTTTTGTAAGAATGGAAAAGAACAATAAAACTGCCGCGGGCAGCGTATTGAAATAGAAACATTAAGGCTGCCTATTCTGCTTTCCCCATTATTACGATTGTTGCTGTAAAAGCTCAAGGGCTTCTGCACGATCGCCGTTTACTGTTGCGGTCTGATTTTTATGTTTTCAAATTGCTTTATTATTTGAGTGATTTTTAAGCGAAGTTAAATAACCTTATAACTATTGTGCATGATCATTTCGAATATAATTCAATGCGTACAAAAACAATGTACGCATTTGTACATACAGATACAGGTACATTTTAATGTTTATTAGGCATTTATTTTGAAACTCATTAATAAAAATACTTACCTACCTAAATGTTACTTCCAAATGGTGTCCAGTGTCCAATAATAGTGATCAAACTATGCGGTTGCTTAACCCACTTCTTTTTTTCCAGCAAACACGTCACCATCCACGTGCCGTACAAGGTGCACACGATCCACCACCACCACGTCTCCAAGGTGCACGTGCCAGTCCACGTACCCGTGGTAAAGGAGGTGCCGGTCATCAAGGAGGTGCCGGTGGTGAAGCACGTCCCGGTGCACGTGGTGAAACACGTCCCCGTGCCCGTGATCAAGAAGGTGGAGGTCGAGAAGAAGGTGTACGTGCCCGTCCACACGCACCACGAACACGTTGAGGAGCACCACGGATGGGAGGGCGAGTCGCTGTCGCATGGCTGGCACTGATTGCTGAATCATCCTCGAAAGTTGTAGGTTAAGGTCAGTAAGTTCACCATTTAAGGCTCATGCTATAAAATATTTTGTACGTCACATCTTTATTATGGAATTTATGGATGAATGATGCAGTGAAATGTTTTGTTTCTATTGATCCATACCAAAATGAGCCCAATATAAAAAGTCGCAACTGCTTAAATTCTATAGTACCGTTTCCATAGTAATAGTCATAATGTGCAATAGAAAAAATCACTTCAATGAAGTAACATGAGAGCTTGCGATGAGAATCTGCAGTTTTTAGTGCTGAACAAACGCATGATTCGATTGCGGAGAAAAAATGTCTTTAACATATCATTTGTCGTTCACCAACTGCCGTAATTGCAGAAGTGCCTTACGTGATCACTTATTTATGTAACAGCACTGACTTTTACAGTCTTGTTTATTAAAGACATGGTGTTTGTCCACAGGTTTATATAAGATCACAAACACATCACAACGGTGGAAGACTCAATGGATGACTGCGTTCATCTAGATCCCGTCGCTCAGTATTGTGAAACTCGTTACCGTTATTGTTAAATAGGTATAAGAACCAAAGAAGAATAAAGATGTGTATAGTATTTTTTTACAAATGAAATAATATCTTTCATTTACCTTACCCTGATGCAAATGATACAAGTTGAATAGGATAATATAAAGTATCTATAAATGACCAAGTGGCTAGCTACCATTAAAAGTCAAAAATAAGAGTAAATAAACATATAATATTCAAAACGATAGTAAAGCTTCCTAATTTGAATTCTAAACACTGCACTATTCACAAATTACATAGTACATAGTCACTGATTCAAGCGGCATCAAATTCTCTAATGGCGTAGCAGATGAGCTCGTATGTCGTGAACGCGACTACGCTGGTTAGTTGGGCCTTGTAGATGGTAACCTTCCAGCCTCGGTACAGTCCAGTAAAACCTTCGGACTTATAGGTCTCCACAAGACAATGGGTCAGTTTCTTACACTTCAACAGGTCTTTCGATGTGCTGGGGGTTTTGTATTGCGCATCTTGTTTATGAGTCTGCAAGGAAACATTGGTCGTGTAAGACTGATTTGAATGATTGTGCTAGAAGATTAGGTTTATGATTATCTAATACCCGATTTAAATAAGTATCTTGAATCGAGAGATGGGTAAAGAGTTTGATCAAACAAAAAGGGTTGATTCTACTTCTCAAACAAAATTAAATTACTTTGTCCACAGAAAATTACCTAAATTTAAAAAAAATAATTTGTCTCCACAATAAATGACTGATTGTTGATGATAACTATAGCACATCTGTTTTGCATGGCAAAATCCGCAAAATAAAAAAACATACATAAGAAATTATAACAATGACTATTATCTTTCGTGGTAATGCGTGTAGAGCTGTTGCATTTGATGAGATTCCATTATAGTCAGCTTTATTACTCTATGTAAGTAATGGATAAGTACAGACACACGTGCTATTTTTACGGGCAATATCAATATTAATTATTTCAGCCAAGCCCTTTTAGGAATTTGTTATGTATTCATTAGTTTAGATTCAAATCTAAATCAGGAATTGCGCAACCAACTTTAATGTGGTGTGGTTCGTTTGTGCCGGCTGAGCTTCGGAGATGCCAACGATTTTATCAAATTCGGGAAGTAGGGTTTCACTGGATTTACTTTCTAAGACACGCACTGGTCTGTTGCAATGTTTACGCAATAATGGTAAGCAAGAATCATGTAGAGTAATAAATATCATGGAAACATGATCATTACTCAGGTAAATTATTGTCAGTGCAGTAATGGTCTAGGCTGCGCAATGCTTGCAGGCGACACGCGATACAAACAACACTGTGATGGCGGACTCGTAATTTTTCCCCTTGCTCCTGGCGTACTCTAATGGCAAAATTGTGAACACATTGGTTATCATCTTTTATGGCCTCAAAACGTGGGTTTGCTCGTTTATTGGAAAATTTTCTACATCTCTTCTAATGGTAGTCCATAGCAGCTTTCTCAAAGAAACACCACACCACAGAGCATGATCTCCCGCATTTTCATTCATTGTACAAAAATTGATGCTGAAATACTTTTTAATAAATCTTTGTAAAGCGGATAGTAAAATGTATAAGATTTATATTTATGGAAGTAAAGCAAACCAATAATACGAGTACTACCTACCTAGTATGCATATTGGGAACAGAAGCGCTGGTAGGGTAAAAAGATTATGAGACATATCCTTAAGAGCAAAATGACGATTTGTAAGAACTATTTATAATAAAGAAATTTTGACTTTGACTTTGACTTACCTACCTAAGCATAAAACGGAGGTAGTAGGCAAGGTTAATGGTAATTTTGGGCATAAAATGTAAAACAATATGCATTTCGTAACAAGTTTCAATTATTATGCCAAGTTTGTATTAAATAACGTTTCATAGAGTTTCTCTTAATAACATTTTCGACCTTGCTTACATTACATTAGTAGTTTCTTTGCATTTTATGTTTAGTGTACTAAACTGGCCAATTATCTAACAGTTAATATTTCAGGATTTAATTTTCTATGATCATGCTATTGCCATGGTTAAATTGGTCTAAGTTAAGAAATACCTATTAAGACATTGCGTTATACATATTGAAAATAGTATGATTGCTAGATTATTTTCATAAAACAGTGCTTTCTCTGACATGGAATAAAAACAGATTACCTACGGCGATTTGTAGCCTCCTTTTAGCGAGGTCGAACGGGTAGGTCAGCGACTTGGAGACGAAGCCGGACACGCTCCCGGCGAGGGTGCTGGCGACCACCAGATACTCCGGCCGGTGCACGTTGCCCGGCGCGTGCTTGCAGTCCCCAGCCGAGCAGTCGCTCAGGTAGTGCAAGATTCCTTGCTGCACCATTCGGAACACGCTGAACGAGATGCCCACGGCTGGACCCATCTGTGGGTTTGCGAAGCTCTGTATGATTGGTGAAGCTTGACTGAGTACGATGACGTATTCCACTTTGAGCACCCGCACGAATAGCACCAAGCCGATTCCACTTAGTGCATCTTTTGATATAAAAATTCACGAAAAACACCTGCCCACAGTATCGTGCTCTAAGTGGAATAGGTCAGGTGCTATTCGTGGGGGTGCTATTTGGGAGGGTGCTCAAAGTGGAATACGTCAGTACGATTGATCCTACTCGTAAATAATTCATTATACTTAGTATTCGTACCTCTTGCTTGATAGCAAATGTTTTGCCGTATAAAAATTATATGGGTGTCAGAAGGTTATTAAATGGTATTAGGGCATGTAATATCGGTAGGTTTTCAATTCCGATATTGGATTCCGATATTAGATCTCAATATCGGAATTCCGATATTAATATCGGAATTGAGTTCATGTGCTATAAAATTAATATTTGGTTATATTCGGAAGAATTCTGGATTGTTTACAATAAAATAATGATTTTAATCAAAATCTTTAATTTTGTACAAAACATGTGACAAGAGGCAAATGAGCAGACGGATGACCTGATAATCAATGGTTACTGATAATGAGCCTATATGGACTAGCAAATAAATAATTAAAGTGTTTTTGTAAAATCACAGGTATCAAACAAACTTTTACTCCTTCATTATATTATTACCTACCCTGTTTTATGTTGGCGGAACGAATTTTAGAGTCATTCAAATCACGTGTTACAAAAATTGTAGAGAGTGGTAAAAACTTGAATATGCTTGTAATTTGTTCCTTTTTGATTATCGATGTACCTACAACTCACAAAACCACGAGCCATCATCATCATCATGTCAGCCATAGGACGTTCACTGCTGAACACAGGCTCCGACGCTGATTTTCACAATGGTCGGTTGGTGGCGGCCTGCATCCAGCGCCTTCCTGCTATCTTTATGAGGTCGTCGGTCCACCTTGTGGTTATGAATCCTACGCTGCGCTTTCCGGTACGTGGCCTACACTTCAGAACCTTTCTGCCTCATCGTCCGTCTGTTTTGCGTACTAAGGCAGAACCGTTGGAAGACCTTATCAGAATTCTCGAAGACCTTTATCGAGTTTGCCAACAGGTAGGCCTTCGGATGAATATGGAAAAAACGAAGCATATATCGAATGTCTGTGTTGCTCCTTACCCAGTTTCGGTTAGGAGCTCGATTCTCGAGATTGTTGACAAGTAAGTATGTCTATCTCGGACAAACGATCAGCTAGGTAGTTAGATACAATTTCGAGAAAGAAGTAAATCATATTTCATTCATAAATTCAAAGCACATATTAAAAGTACCTTAATGAAAAAGGGCTACTATAAAGTCAATGATTATTTAAAAGATAAAAATGTTTGGGATACGACTGCCTAGCTCGCATAAATATTTATAACTTTGTACATTTTAAAGCATGTAAACCTTTGAAAAGGAGGCTGACAATAGTGACTGAGTTTCTTGCGCTGCTTCTTCTCAGCTCTGGCCCAATTATTGTCCTGAAGCAGTGGTAGGGTTAATACTGGGACGTGTAAAAGTTCTTTTTTAAGCCTATTTACAGAAATAAATGAGTTTTAATCGTCGAATACGAAGACGAAAGTCTTCAATTAGTGTGTGTTACCAGTGATGATATACGGCTCGAAAACGTGGCCTTTGAATATATGGCACAACGTGCTATGGAGAGGGATAAGCTTGGTGTTTCTTTACGAGATCTAATCAGAAATGAGGAGCTCCGTAAACTAACTAAGGTCGCTGACATAGCCCGACGGATTAGCAAGCTGAAGTGGCAATGGGCAGGGCACATAGTACGCAGAACTGACGGACCATAGTCCAGTAAAATTAATGTTTGAAAGGGAGTTGAGATGTCGTTCTTTGTTGACCAAGTACCTAAGGCAAAAGCTAAAATTGATTTAGAACAAGTTAAATTAAACATAAATAGTAAAGATATTAAAATATTTGCAATGGAACAAAAAGTGATGGTGAGAGACATGAGAAAATCATTGGTCCTTGCCAATCATGTACTTTGGGCTTTGTGGCAGGTTGTGGCGAGCTTAAACGCTTTGTTTAAAATTTCAATTAAAACTTTTATCTGATTCCGATATTACGATATTGGGTCGCTCAATATCGGAATTGAAATATCGGATCTCGCAGTCCGAGATTCCGATATTACGAGATTCCGAGATTCCGATATTCATGCCCTAAATGGTATGAGCTTTAAAATACTCCTTGTTCAAAAAATACCACAAAGTAGTAGTAGGACACATTTGGTCTGGAAGTGATTGTACCGTTGCCGCGTTGACTCTAATCAGGCGTTATGAATACTTATATTTGAAAGTTCATTTATTTACCTACATACTGATAAATAAGTAGTATTATTTTATTAGAAAGTAAAGTGTCATATCAAGATTTCGGAGCTATTGTTGAACACTAAGACTGAGATAATGTTTTTAACACTCAGGAGTAGCAGTACCTACCTGCCTAATGCGACCATGAAAGAGCATTTAACAAGTGGTTTACCTGCAACAAGGAAGCTGACAAGCCTTCATAGAAGGCAAAGATGCCACCGGATTTGTAGACCTTTTTAGCCCCGTTGAAGAACCCTCGGTACTGCTCTTTGACGATCATTTGCCGTACACGAACCACTTCAAGGGGGATAACAAGGGCAGCACTGCAGCCTCCCGCGAAAGACCCACAGCAAAACATCATAAATGGTCTGCAAGAAAAAAATACAATTAAAAAGAATTAATTTTGTGACAGTATAATAATAAATATTCAAAAAGCAAGCGGAATAAAAAGTATCTGAAAATTCATATCGCTATAGGAAAATTAGAAATAAACAGGGCTTTTACCAGAAAACTAGTTACGTTACCTAAATACAGTAATTATTTAACTTTATAGCTTTACATCAATAAGTTTAGTTCTCGACTTCAATATAATAATTATGCCTGTGTGTTGGAACGCCCGAAGGAAATATCAACTCAAACTTGTTGTCGCGTGGATTGTTGCATGAGTGATAAATGCTTACGACGAGCACTTACTTGAATTTGTCGTCAATTGATGCATTTGAAACAAATTTTGTTGATAATTCGTATACATAAAACTGACTGCTCACTGAAAGGATAGAATGGATCTGAAAAAAAATATATAAAAAAATAAGTCCTTTCAATTTTCGTAATTTCCCTAAGGATGTAAAGGACTCTCACCTGGCCAAGGTTATGACCATGCCAGAATGCAGTAATCCCCTCTTCGGCGAAGATCTTCCTGGTGGTAGAGAACCACTTGTCCGAATAAGCGTGAGATTGTTTCTTTTGCAACTGTGTCCGTATTTTAACCACATCCAAAGGTTGGGTTATGAACCGCGTAGTCACGCCAGATATGCAACCGGCAATAAGTTTTTGATGTGGCGTCATTGTGTCATTTTGTTGGTATCCCACCATTTGTGTAGATGCATGGTGGGCAGAGACAGCGAGCAGGCTCACTAGGGCTGCTCTGTCGGTTCATACCTTCTTCCAATCATGCACATCTTGCACCAATGACTGTATTGACAGAAAACATGCCACACATTGACATTGAACTTGCGGAATGTCGAAAGACTGACATTGACGACTGGCTTGTCGTCACTCGCCACAAAAGAGTATGAACGCCTTGTCATCACTATCTATGAACGTAATTCTAATAAAAACTGCTTTTGAAAGTAATTTTTTGATTTATAAAATAACCGCCAACCAACCAACCAACCGATTCGAGAGGAGAAGACGCTAGTTTTATCCCCGTCAATCCTCGACTATTGTGGTAAACCCACTCCTGATATAATCATACTCATATCTTTAACTTTAATTGCCCACAAGTGTCTTATCAACTTTTTGAGCACAAGATTTTCGGTCTGTTCTATGTAAAAAATGTTGGTAAAATTGAGAGAATAATAGACTGCCGTTTGGTGCAGTGTGCATTGATTTGTACTAGACTAGGTACCAAGCCACGAGGTCGTGGTTTCGATCCTCGTTCAGTACAAATATTTGTGTGCATGAAAGAACTCAACTGTTTATACTGATCTACAGTATTTTTGTATCCGTTGTCTGATACAAGCTCTCCTTAGTCTGGGACGAGACGGCGCGGCGGCGAAGTGTTTAATGTCTAAGAATATTTATTTATTATTATTATTATAAAATCAATTTTGAAATATATTTAACCGATAGAATGATTCAACAAATGAATGCAAGCTACTATCAATTTATCAAAACTAATTGGAGAACGCAAGTAAACAGATCGATTCATATTGACCAGCCTATACAGATCCGTAGCTTGATAAGTACAGTATTTTTCATATTTATTGGTAAAAACAGATAAGTAATTTATTTCCTATCTATATGTCTCATTATACTGGTCATTTCTCCTGTTATTTGAATATTGAGAGTTGATATGGAATGATAAGAATCAATCAATGAGATTGCAACTCGTTTAACTTTGAACAGGTTGAAAGGACAATATAAGATTGTAGAGTTAGAGTACTTTGGGGACATGGGAATTAAAATTGGCAAGAAAAAGATGAATTGCATTTTACAGTGGAGGTTGACTGACAATTACATTATGTAGACTACTAGATCCCTAAAACAATTATTCATATTCTGTAGAGTCTACAGTGTAGACTATGTGCCAAGTCTCAAGACGGTAGACAGCAAAAATGTTCACCGTTTGTTTTTTTCTGTATTAGTTAAGGTATACAAGTGTAAATGCTAATGTATGTTGAATTCAATAAATTATTTGTATAATTTGTTAGTCTAACTAACCTAACTAAGGGATTTGCTGTCTGACACACTGGAAGGATGCAATTTCCGGTCAGGTCAAAGTTAACGCAGCCTGCACATAATTTATGATTACTTTGACCTGACCGCAGACTGCATCCAGTGTGACATGTCCTAAGAAGGATGCATTTTAAATATATTATTTTTGGATAAAGCGTAATAATTCCTGAAAGGTGGATAAAGTTCATGAATAGGTCAATTTTCCACATGGCTGCTTGCAAACAAAATAATTTAGATCTATCAGAGATGTGTCACCAATTTTCTTCAAAGGGCTGATAGGTAATTTTATAAGTGGGCGGCTAATGGATGGGGAAGGCAGCATTGCCTATCTTGATAGCGAAGTTCAGTAATTAAATGGACCATAATGGAGCGCTTGTCATTTACAGGTGATGTTACTTGCTTAGTCGGTATATCGGGGGCGTCACTTCGAACAGTCCGCGTAGTGTTCCGGACGTTCCATACCTTTGACAAATTATTAAGTTAAAGTACAAATAATTGCAAATAATACAATGCGTTTGATTAAGATGGACAGTGGATATTAGGAGCTTCTTGAGGTGAGAAGGCTTTTTGTCTTTTTTTACTGTTTTTTTTTGCGAAATGTTTTCATTTTTTGGTACTTTCTTGAGAATTGTTAAAAATTCAAGCGTAATTTAAATTAAATTATTATTTATGTTTTTGCAGTATCTATTGTATAACATGTTACATGAGTATTTTCGTTTTAAAATTTATCTAATCTGCTTCACTCTATTCTTCTGCCAGAGAAGTTTTGTATGCTTTCATTTCATTGCGTCTAGCTGAACTATCTAGGTAGGTAGCTCAATAATATAATTAGACTTTAGAAGTTTAGAGGTAATTATTCAATGTTATTCGATTGATTTTATGGAATCTGAGTGTATTTAAGATCGTCTCGTTCTTTTATTCATAATATAATCTGACCTATTAGGTATTACTGAAGAAATGTTAAATTAATTATAGCACCTTTAATTTTAATGGTAAAAGTATTTACTTTTAGCATTTTATTGCTTTCGGAATGTTTGAATAATTAGGTCCAGCCTTATTTCCCACTATGCGTTGTCAATTGATTGTACAAGCTTTAGAATATTTATTATACAGGGTGGCCAAAACAGTGAAGTCTAAAAGAAAAATTTAGATTCCTTACACCAAGGTGCATCTAAATCACCCCCATGTAGGTATGCTCTACTATTTTGCTTATTTTACGAGATAGAGTTAATTTTGTGATATTTTAAAATCTTATGACCTAGTTGACGCTTTAATTTTTTTTATCTTTTTTTTTGGTTGACTTTTCTCAGATTTCTTTTTTTGACAGATTCGTTATTAGTTGCAGATGTTTGAAAAAATAATCACATTCCTATCTTTGATGCAAGATACAAAAGTATTGCTACAGACATTAAAATTATGCTTTTAGCAGAACACTATCAAATTTTCAACTTAAAAGTTTAAATAAAAAATAGAACTTCTATAGGTCCAAAACCATTTTAAAAACTGCGCAGTTTCCTGAACATTCATAAGCCTACAAGGTCATAAGATTTTAAAATATCACAAAATTAACTTTATCTCCTAAACTAAGAAAATCGTAGAACATAAATGGGGGTGATTTAGATACACCTTGATGTAAGGAATCTAAATTTTTCTTTTAGACCTTACTGTTTTGGCCACCCTGTATAGGAAGACAAGTTAGGATAGACCGTACTATAAGGGGTGCGATGGTGAGGGACCTCCTCGTGGTGCACCCTGGGCAACGTCCGCGTGGTCTGTTCACGCGGGCGGCTAACTTCTCACCTGCGCGGCAGGTCTCGTCAACTCGGCGGGCCTGTCGGGCAACCCGTAACCCACAATTGAGTGGGCCGGGGGCCGTCGAGGCATTTGCCCGGGCCACGATGCAGGGGACATCTTTAAAAACCCCCACAGGTGGGGGCTGGCGGGGCGTTTGCCCGGGCCCATTCTTTGGAGGGCCGCTCTCGGTACCTCTCTGATCAGCAGAGCTGACCGAGCAGCGGCATAGAGCAGACCGTAACCCGCTACGGCGGGCCGGGGGTCCTGTTTTACCAGGGCCGCGAGGAGAAAACCTCTATAAAAAACAACTGGAGGAGGGGATTGGGGGTTCCCTCGAAGCCAGAGAGGCTTGCTCGTGAGCGAGCCTCTAGCCTGAGGCGGAGCTGCGGACGAATGTCCAACCAGGACAATAACTCGCGGCTCCGTTTCTTTGGGCTCTGGTGGAAACCGTCGGGTTTTAGTGGGTAGGCCAAAAAAAAAAAAAAAAAAAAAAAGACCGTACTATAAAGGTAAACAAATATTTGATAGTATATTATTATACATACGCATACATAAATATTATAGTCACACACATTATTATTGTACTTCATGCACATACTATTATAAGTTTGACCTTGTGCCCAATTACGTTTTGAAAGAATGGTGGCTTCGAACCAAAACAACAACAGTTTGGTGGTAATTAATATAACTGTTATTCAGTGCACGAATCAAATTGATATTAGACATATTATCACATTAAAGAAGTTGAGTAGTTTGAAGATTTTAAAATCCGCTTTAAGTTTGGATGAGTGTGTTTAGGCAATCAACAATTTCATTTAATACCTGTACCACAGAATCCTGTACCTACTTACCTACGTAATGTAGGTACAACCTCAAACAGAGAATAAAATAGTGGGTATAGAAGGCGTCATTTTAAATAATCATTTAGCTTTTGGATGGATTTAGTTTATGCCTTCACTTAGTTATTTATATCCGATCCCAAACTGATCGATACAAATTCAATAATGCACTGCGCACTGGTTATTATCCGAGGCAGAAAAAAATTAAATTAAACTTTTTAAAGACAGAAATATTTGATTTGGTTGATGACGTCACAAAGACGGCAAGAAGAACTTTTCTTTTTTTTGCACATCTCTTGCATTTACGACTTATGGGTAGTTCTACAAATCAGGGAATTTTACGAGGCTCAACTTGCAGCTCCTTAAATTACCAATGAATAGTTCTCGTTTTAGGGTATTAATAAAGTTTAACTCACATAGTACTTGGTCACTGAATTTCAACACGTTTTAATAAAAACATCCCAGACAAAAATGGCTTCAAATGGGAAAAATTTTCATTTCCCTGTGGGGTGACATTCCAGAATTCATGATGTAAATCACAATAAAAAATATATAAAAATATAATTAGTCAAAAATAACATTTTATTGAAAGTAACCATTAGTGTATCTTTCATTTAACCTATATGGATTATGTTTGAATTCCCTATTTACATAATATTTTGATTGCTGAACAAAGGCGATACGAATTAAGTATCACTTCCCTGCCACCTATAAACACGTTAAAATCTGTAACAAAACAAAGGGTAAGCCACGTTGTCGTTCTTATGTATTTAACTATGCAGTTAAGTTCGCCTAGTGAAACGTTTATTTCGCCCAAATCGTCAGTCAGTTAGACGCAGCTACGCTGTTATCATCGTCTGTCGTGTCTGGGCCAGACAACTTCTCACTCATCTGTTACGTATTTATAACAGTATTTTATATTATGTTAGGGCAATTATGAAACAATATTGTCAAACTCGCTTGCGTCCATTGACTGATAATATTAAATTTGATATGAAGTTTATATAATTCATGATTTTGGCAAAATACATCAAAAATCTCACTTCCCTGTGTATCATTTCCCTGGGTTTACGAAGAAAATGGAAAAGTTAATATCGACTAACCAGCAAAACTTACTGCCATATAAAGGCATTTTATAAATACACTAAGTGCAGGCAAATGCATATGTTACAGGAAATGTATGAATTCTAGGAATTGTATACTATTCCTAGGAAATGTATACAATTCCGAAGCTATTTAGGAAATGTATAAAATATTGCTTCAGAGATTTTTTAATACGCACATATCCTAGGACATGTATACTTTTCCTAGGAATTTTATAGAATTCCAATATTGTATTAGGAAATGTATAAAATTAAGCGGCACAAGCGCGGTCGTGTGATCGGGTGCCCCTCAGTACGCCTAAAATTTCATTTAGACAAACCACATTGACCGAAGGTATTTTTAACTCACAACTATTATTGTTTAGCCTGAAAGTTGTTTTCGCACTATTATACTTTGGCGGATAAAAAATTTGCCTATTGGCATACCTTTCTTTCGGCATCACGCATATTACGCTGAAGTATTGGAAAACCCTAATTTTAACATCTCTTTTGTTAAACTATTATTGACATGAAGGTTTTAGCTGTCAT